CCCAAAATCCACTTTCACTTCTACCTTAGAAATGGAACCTAGATGTAGAGGACATTGTTCTGTTCATCAACATTCTTGTTCTCTTTTCCTTTTTGGCATGTGGGAAGATTGTATTTCCCTTCTCCTTGAGGTTAGACACAGTTACATGGCTAGTTGAGTCAACAGAAGAGGAGCCGAAGTGAAATATGATACTTCCAAGTGAAAGACTGTAACTGCTGATGCTCTTCTCTCCATCCCTGCTAAGCGTACAATCACAGAGGTTCATATCCATATGAAGGCAGTATTAGAGTGGAGGAGCTTGGAATGCTGAGCAAACACACAGAGGAATGCTGCCGTGATCCTTTACATGGACCCCAGCAGGCTTCGCGTGAGTGAGAAATACACTTCAGTCAAGCCACTGAGGTTAGGTAGTTTGTACTGCAGCACAATCTAGCCTATTTGGAAATATGTGAGTTTAGTCATGGTAGCATTATGCATCCTTGTAACTGGGAGGGTCAAGTAACAGTTCTAGCAAACAAAATATAAATTGAGGTGACTGGTCAAGTGAGCCTTCTAGGAAAAGCCTTTTAAAGAAATAAATTCAGCTGGCATGAGCAGTTTCTCTTTTTGTCCTTCATTTTCTTGCCTAGGATGTAGACATGATGGTTGGAACTGTAGGAGTTATCTTAACAGCATGAGGAGTAGGGTCCCATCCAGTGGTGCAGTGTGGACAGAGGAAAAGAGATGGGGCTCTGTTGACATCATGGAGCTGCCATGCTTTGGACTTCCCACTGCTGGGATTCATTTATGGGAGACGAAAACAAACTTTTGTGTTGTTTAAGCCACTGTTTTTCAGGTTTCTATTTCTAACAGCCCAATGCAATTTTTAACTGTTATGGAAGGTACAGAAGTAATTTTTATTCTTCTAGTATTTATACTACTATTAGTTTTTCATATTTTTATTGTGGAAACTTTCAAACATATCCAAAAATACAGCGAGTAGTCATCATCCAGCTTCAGCAATGATCGACTCATAGTCAATCATGCTTTCCTCACATCTCCCACTTTTTCCTCCTGGGTCGATATCTATATATATATGTATATAACATATTATATATGTGTATATGTTTAGAGACTAGAGACAGGGTCTCACTATGCTGCCCAGGCTGGTCTTGAACTCCTGGCCTCAAGCAATCCTCCTGCCTTGGATTCCCAAAGTCCTGGGATTACAGGCGTGAGCCACTGCTCCTGACCCTGGGCTGATTCTTGCAACTGGTTCTACTGCTCTTATGGGTGACATGTTGTTTATCCTCAACCCACCTCTGAGAAAGGGACCTCTCTGTGCCCCACTCCTTGACCTAAACTCACCTTCTGCAATGCCCATGGTCCCTGCCTTGACCTCAGGTGGCAAGGTCCTTATAGTCTGTGGCTTCTTGTCTCTATCTCAGGCCTCTTTGGGACCACCAGTCCTCTTGCCACTTCTTGCCTCCCCCATCTGGGGGTCCCAGGGATCTTGGCTACTTGCAGGCTCCATAGGGAAGTGTACAGGGCTCAGTGGGAGCTGCCCCCAGACCCATCTCTTAGGCATCTCCCTCAGCTTCTGCTTCCTTTCATCTCTGAGCCATGCAGTCTCCCCAGGTTATATTCTTAGATTTCCCTATGCCTATTGGGGTAACACAAGGGAAGGAGGTGGAGAGCATGTTCTGCAGCAGTATCTCAGCCTCCTCACACTCTGTCTCAGAGTCATGCATGGGCTTTTCTTTTGTCTCTTCTTGCGTAGCTGGAAGTTTCTCTGCCCTCTACCCCATCCCCCACCTCCTGCCACCCTCTGCACATGGAGGCTTACCAATAGGCTGCTAACACCTCCTGGTTTTCCTAGGACAGTCCTGGTTTGCACTTGCTATTTCCAACGTATTTATCAGTAGTGTCCCTTTCACTCTCAAAATCTATGGTTACCTTTTTAAAGGTGAAACTCTACGCAAAGTTATTTGTTGACGCTTGACATGAAAGCCCAGCTTTGAGAGTGCCCAGGAAACATTTTTTTCTTTCAACTCACTGTAGCTCTTCTACATAAGTGCATGCTTCCACTAACTTGTGGTGGACTTGAGCAAACTCAATTTTTTGAAACAAAGTTGATCGATTTGTTTACACCAAGCATTTCCACCCTGGCAGGGAGGGGATGGAGTAGGGTGGTGCCCTCCAGCAACACGGGTGTATGTGTGGTCAGCGGGGTGGTGGTCAGTCCACTCAACCTGCCTGGCATGGCATGGCGGTGGCTTTGGTCATCTCATTTTGGATTTAGCATGTGGGACACAAAGAAGCAGAAGACAAGGCTCTGGGGATCCTGGGGCTGTGTGGTCAGAGCTGAGGTTGGTGATGTATCAGGTGGGAGGCTTGAGAGCATAGGGTGGGCACCCTGGGGACAAAGAGATGAGATGCCTTCTGGGAATCCTTTCCCAGTGGTGGAAGAGAACTGCAGGGGATGGGCCCTCACTTACTGGACTACCTTCCTAGGACTTCAGCAAGCTGTGCCAGTCTGAGGGCCAATGCAATTCTTTACTGATGGGAGGGTTGTGGGCGCATATCTCTTGGGGACACCATGTCATCTGAGGGAGGAGCAAGATTGGGGATACTTGGTCCCCCTAGAGTGCTCTCAGGCCTACTCCCATCCCAAAGCCACAAGCACAGCCTCCCCTTCTACACTTCAGTGTTTCAGCATATGATACATGTTGTCAGAAAGGGTTCTTCCTGCAGCTCAATCCTCAGCGATGGTGAGGAGTGGCAGGAAAGGCCTCTGAGGTCTGCCTCTGAGAATCCCACCAGCAGCCTTACCCTTGCTGAGGAGGGAAGGGTGGCTCCAGTGATCTAGGCCAACACTGGCCACAGACCTCACTGTTAAAGAGGAGCCTTTCTCCCAATTCCCATCCCATGCCTCACTCACTTCTTCTTCCTTGGGGCTCTCCAGTGCCCACTGCCCACAGGTCCAGACTATCCCTAGTTTCTTAAGACCCCTGACCACCAGCAGGACACCCAAAGTGGAGTGGTGGTGAAGGCTTTGGATGAAGCTTGGCTTTCTTGGGCTAGCCCTTGAGTCTCATTGCTCACATCTATGTGGTGCCATCTTCTTGAGATCCTGTCTACCTGGGACAGGAGGTCTCACTCACGTTCCCCTCAAAAGCCCCTCCCATTCAGCCCCCAGCTACCAAGCTGTGTCTTCCTGTTTCCAAAAGTTTTTGACCCAAAGTGGTGCTCCCGCTGGATTCCTGTTTCACTTGGCATTGTTAGAACATCAGAGAGCAGGAAGCCTTGATGACCTGAGTCTCCTGTGTGAGCATGAAATTCTGTAGAGCACCCTACAAGGGCCAGTTGAAAAGGGCTTAACACAGCAGTTCCCAAACTAAGGCTGCACTTTGGAAAGCTGATGCCAGGCCGCATACCAGCCCAGTTAAAGCAGAATCCCTGGGTGGACCCAGGTATCTATATATATATATATATTTTTTAGTGTCCTAGGGGATTATAATGTCCTGTGTTGAAAATATATAACTCAGAAACTTAAACCATTGCCAATCCAGGTTTTAAACACCTCTCACTGTTGAGGTAGCACCTAAGGGGTTAGTCACGCAGAGTTCCTATTATGCCCAGCTGCAGACCTATCTAGTTTCGTACCACTTGCTACTGTGAGTAGGAGGTGGGCAGAGCTGTATCCAGCACCCCTGAATGGGTTCTCCTGGAAGAGTGGGATTCAGTCAGAAAGTCCAGGTACCCAGCTTCTTCACTGCCACCTGCAGCTACTGCAGATGCTGTGTGTCAGGCTGAACCCTAAACCCTCACATCTGCTATAGCTGTTCTGGAGACTCACCCCCAACACACACACACACACACACACACACACACGGAAAGTGTCACCCAGCTGCAAGGCATGAAGACCCCTGTACACCTCCCCACTGGCCCTCCCACCTCTCCTGAGGGACCCACCATGGAAAGACCCTGCGGAGGGTTGCAGACCTCAGACTTCTGGGATGAAAGTTCACACAAACATCTGAGGGACACAGGCTGAGAGTGAGGGGCCTTGGGCATGGATGACAAAGCAGAGACAGTGAGAGACCACGTGAGAGATGGTTGCACCATAGGTGCCCAGAGACAGAGGGAGACTCAGCAAAGCAGTGGCCCAGCAGCACCCACCCAAGGCAGGCCCAGCAGAGGATGAGGCAGCCTGGGGGTAGGCCACAGAGGGGACATGGGGGTGGATGAGGAGCACAGCTGCTTCTGAGGATGTGGTAGGATTTAGGGGCTGTGTGCCCAATGACCTGCACTGGCAGAGGGACAGCCCTTTCCCCTGCCTACCCCTAGTTGTTTACCTACCCCCATGCCACCCCCACCACCATCTCCCCACACCCACCGAGTCCCTCTCCCCTCCCAGATCCCATGCCTGGTTCTCCCAGGAAGTGCCCAGCAAAGGGGAGGGAAGCCTCGTTGTTCAGCCCCAGGGTGGGGAGGCAGCAGGCACAGCTGCTACCTTCAGCTCCTGCTCTGGCTTCCCTAGGGGCTGGCTCTGGCTGGCTGCTCCCCCACTGCCTCCCCCACCATAAGGCAGAGCGTCTGTCCTGCTGTTGCCAGCTGAAGTGCCATGTCCTCCTGGCTCCCTGCCAAGCACTCTGCCGGCCCTGAGGGCCCTGCCAATCACAAGCCTGTGGAATCCTGGCCTTCCCAGCTGGCCCTGGCTGCAGCCAGATTCTCTGATCTTCTGATCTGAATGGAGATGCCTGGTCAGGGGCTGCAGGAAACTAAAGCCCAATGCCTACTCCCACTGTGGAAGGGGCCAAAATCAGGCAATCATCATCAGTGCTTGACCTGGGCCCTGGGGTCTCTCTTGGATGCCAGGTATGCTGTTAGGAACAGGGGCCTAGGGTTGGTGACCTGAGGACAGGGGCTCTAGAACATACCAGGGAATCTTTCTGGGGGGAAGGCAGAAAAGTTAGGGGCTGAACCCTCCTCCATGAGTCTAATCTCCAAAGAGCAAGTGTGTGGTCAGTAAAGGTCTTTATTGGAAGAGAGATCCAGCCTCCTTGGCTCTGTCAGCGCCCTAGGTCATGAGGATTTCGATGTCAAGCTCCAGCCGGCTGGCTCTGACCTCATAGTGGCCCCGGATCAAGCCTCGGGTTTGGCTGGCATGCCAACGCCAGTGAGACTGGATGATGCAGGCTGCTTGGCGTGCCTGGAGGAACCGCCTGCGGGCCTGCCACATTCGAACCTGTGCCTGCACCTTCACCACTGCCCACTCCTGGCAGGTATAGAGTCTTAGTGCCAAGCGCCGTCTTTGCTCCAACATCTTGGCCTGCATTGACCTCCACCAGCACTGGATGACCCAGGCTCTGAGTGCTGCATGCAGTAACGTCCGGCGCACCATGTTGCCACGCCACCATGACTGAATCTTTATGGCTGTCTTCTCTAACTGATTGGGGGGAAGGAAAAACAGGGAGAGGCTCAATGGGGGACCCTCCCCTCCTGTTCCTATCCCCACCTCTGATCTTGGGAGGAAACAAAGCCTGGCCCAGGTGCCCCTGACTTCTTGTTTCTAGGGCCCATCCATCTTGTTTCCAATTCCCCTCCCGCCTTTAGACACTGTTCATTACCCATCAGGCTAGTCCCTCCTGCAAGGGCCTTACTCACATTTTGCGTGTCCATGGCCTTGGTCCTTAGGGTCCACTTATCTATTATTTAGGCCACCCTAGTCTTTAGCCCCACCCTCAACTGTTAGTCACACCTCCATCATTGGACTCCGCCCACCTGTATACCAGACTCCACCTTATTAGGTCCTGTCTGCGCACATTTTAACCACATCTCTCTCTCCTCTTCTCTTGCTTGCATCTCTTTTGCTTTATTGATTCCCACCACTGTGGGAGCGTACCATTATCTCTTGACTTCAGTTAATTTCCCAGCCCCAGTGGCATTCCTATTCCTCCTGATGACAGTGAAGAGAGAGTCATGCAGCTTACCTACAAGTAAGGAGTTTTACTTTAAGCCTACTCATAGCCAGAATAGATTTCCTGAAGCTTAAGTGTCAGGGCACCTGTCTGGGCCTGAGGAACGTGTTTACAGAGCTGTATATTTGGGGGTAAAATCTGTGAAAGCAAGATATTTCAGCGGCAATTGGAGAGGACCTCTGTTTCTCTTTCCTCTTACTCCCTCTGTCACTCACCTCCTGTCGAGTAGTGTGGAATGGCAGCCTCTTTTGCAATGAGACTAAGGAAACTCTGAGTTGGGATAGACTCAGTTTAACAGCATAGATTTATGTGGTTCGCAGTCACCCTTGGGAACACATAAATCCTTGCTAGCCATTCTGCTGTTGCTGTGTTCATTCACCTTGCTCATGGTGTGAAGATGCAGGAACAGAAGCACTGCTATCCTGATAAGAATGTGTCTTCCAGTGCTGGCACCAAAAGTATTTGGGCAGGGGAGGAAAAGTAAGTGTGAAAAATATGGAACCAGAAGCCAGTCTGTAGAAAATTCTTCCTGTTATTAGATGTGTAAAACTGTAAGTGGAAGATTCAAGTCTCATTGATGCCTGATGAAAATTGAAGTTCTCTCTTGTCAGAAATATACTTGACAATGCAATGATACAATTTTAAATATTTCATGCTTATTTCTTTTCTTGATGGGAATTTCTTGAAATTCCAGCTACTGTAAACAATGTGGAAGTCAGTGTGAAAAATCACATGCTTTATGCATACCAAATGTCAATCGTAAGAATGTTTCTGTAGACAATGTGGTTGTAAAATCATCCTATGAAGAAACATTAAAAGGTTATGCAGCTGAAATGTAGAAAAATATAGATGTGAGGCAGTTAATTCATATAAATATTATGCTATGTTTGATGTATTTATCAACTTAAAAAATGTGTAATTTGTTGTAATTTCTTTTCTCATCTTAAATAAATACTAATTTGACATCTGTAATTTTGTGTGCTTTTCTTTAAAAGTAGGCTTTCTAGATCATATGTTTTAGGTGCCACAAAACCTGGATCTGTCTTGCCTCACTGTAAGAATGCAGTTGTGCAAGCAGATCTCCTGGGAGCTCACAAAAAGCTGTGCTTCTAGGATTCAGAATTAGCACTGGAACTGCACACTCAGGTGATTCAGAGATGCTGGGAGTCCTTTGAGATCTGGGAGGCCATTTTGGCTCTGGCTTTAGCATGCATTTCATTATCCATTTTCCTGCAAGAAAGGTTTGCTGGGTGCCCATGGCTTGTAGGGCCACACACTGTCCATGGCTTCTGTTTATATGTTTTTGAGGATCCTGCTGCCTCACATCATTGCTATGGCACTGCTCATCTGGGTGTCTTACAGGTTCTGGCCCCACTGTGAACCAAGCAACTTTGGTAAACCAAGCATGTTTAAAGTCCTCAAAATAGTGGATCCTATTGCTTCCCTTAAAGATTGCCAATCTGGGTGAGCAAAGTGCTGGAACCAGCCATCTCAAGGGCCTTCGCTTTGTCAGTCCCGGCGTCAGGCATCCACCCCGACAGAAGGGATCACTTAGTGGCCAGTGTTCTGGGGGCTCAGCCCGTCCAGGCCAGGTTGCCATGGTCAAGATGCCACACTCCACCATTTCTCCCCTTTTTTGGCCTGGTTGGGAGTTGCCATAATACCGTAACTTTGCTATCTTCTTGGCTGTCCCTGGAAAATCCTGCCAGAGTTCACAGTTTTGCAGTTGAAAGTGGCAGCAGATGGGGGTGGGGGTAAGACAAACTCTCTGAGTCTTACTAAGTTTTCACAGAGCATGGTCCTCAGTCTCTATTTCCTCACTACTTCTTCTCCAGCTTCCTGTTCTTTTCTTGTTGCTTGATATATATTTTTTCTGATTATAAATGTAGTACATGTCTGTTGCCAAAATTTCAATATGCAGACACATATAAGGTGGAAAGGGAATTTCCCATGAAATTTTTCCCCAGAGCTACTTTCAGACCTTATACCATGTATATACTGATGTAAATTTTCTAATAAAATAACTTACTTTTAATTAAACATGTAAAATATATTCTTGTAAAAATTTGTGCATTTCAAAATTTACCTTGGCAATCAATGTTTCCTCCTCTGCATTATTACTGGTTCCAGCTTGGAGGGTATCCTGGACAACTAGCTATGCATTTATCTTTCTTGTTTTTAACTGTGCATTTATAAACACACTACATCCATATACCTAAAAAATACATAATACTGCTTTAATGTGTTTCTGTGTATCTTTTTAAATTAATTAAAGTAATCATGTAACATAAAATTGATCGTTTTAACCATTTTAAAATTCCAGCTTCTAATTTTATCTAATTTCAAAAAGAAAGCCTGTACCCATTAAATAGTCATTCCCCGTTACTTTTTCCCACCCTAGTCCCCGGCAGTCACTAATCTGCTTTTAGCCTCCGTGGATTTGCCTATAAAAGACATTTCATGTAAATGGAATCATACAATATAGGGCCTTTTGTGTCTGGCTTCCTTCACTAGGCCTAATGTTTTCAAGGGTCATCCATGTTGTACCATGTGTCAGTACTTCATTCCTTTTTATGACTGAATAATATTCTACTGTGTGGATGTACTACATTTTGTTTATGTATTCATCAGTTGATGGGCATTTGAGCTGTTTCCACTCTTTAGTGATTGTGAACAGTGCTGCTGTGAACATTCCTGTATAAGTATTTGAACACCTGTTCAATTCTTTTGGGTATATACCTAGGAGTGAAATTGCTTGGTCATGTGGTAATTATGTGTTTAACTTTCTGAGGAAGCACAAAACTGTTTTTCATGCAGCTGAACCATTTTTCATCCTCACCAACCTCTGCATCCTCACCAATACTTATTATTTTCCTTTGGAAAATCATAGCCATCTTGAGTGTGAAGTGGTATCTCATTGTGATTACAATTTTCATTTCCCTAAGACCAATGACATTGAGTATCTTTTCCTGCACGTGTTGGCCATTTGTGTATCTTCTTTGGAGAAATGTCTGTTAAAGTCCTTTGCCTGCTTTAATTGGCTTATTTGTATTTTTGTTGTTGAGGTGTAGGAATTCTTTATATATGATGAGAAGGAGACCCTTATCAGATATATGATTTGAAAATATTTTCTCTGTTCTGTACGTTGTCCTTTCATTTTTTTCATAATGTTCTTTGTTTCAATTTTGTCAAGTCCAGCTTATCTATTTTCTTCTTTGTTGCTTGTGCTTTGGCATCCTAGCTAATAACTCACTGCCAAACCCAAGATCATGGGGACTTACCTGTGAGTTTTATTGTAAGGGTTTTGTAGTTTTATTGGTTACATTTAGGTATTAGATCAATATTGAATTAACATTTGTATATATTGAGGAAAGAATCCAACTTCATTCTTTGCATGGGGTTATCCGGTTGTCCTAGCACCTGTGTTGAAATTGCTTGGTCATGTGGTAATTATGTGTTTCCCCTGGGTCTTGGTACCTTTGTTGAAAATCAATTGAACATAGGTGTACACTTGATTTTTATTTCTGGTCTCTCAATTCTAGTCTGTCAATCTATATATCTATCCTAATGCCAGGATAGATACCACACTGTCTTGATTGTGGTAGTTTTGTAGTAACTTTTGAAATGGAAATGTCAGTCCTCCAACTTTGTTTTTTGTTTTCAAGATCATTTTGTCTATTTGTAGACCCTTGTAATTCCATATGAACTTTAAGATTAGCTAGTCCATTTCTGCACAAAAAGGCAGTGGGAATTTTGACAAGGATTGCAGTAAATCTGTAGATTAATTTGGGGAGTAGTCTTCCAACACACGAACATGGAGTATCTTTCCATTCCACTTACATCTTTAATTTCTTTCTACTGTGTTTTGTAGTTTTCTATGTACGCGTCTTTCACCTGCTTGGTTAAATTTATTCCTAAGTATTTTATTCTTTTTGATGCTATTACAAGTGGAATTGTTTTCTTAATTTCGTTTTTGAATTGTTCACTCCTAGTGTGTAGAAATACACATGATTTTTCATATTGATCTTACATCCTGCAACTTTGATGAATTAGTTTTTTAGCCCTAATATATTTTGTTGTGGATTCTTTAGGATTTTCTTTATGTCTTTATGTGTGTAAGGTCATGTTATCTGAAAACAAAGAGTTTTCTTTTCTTTCTTTCTTTTCTTTTCTTTTTTTCTTTTTTTTTTTTTTTTTGAGACAGAGTCTCACTATGCTGCCCAGACTGGAGTGCAGTTGTGCAATCTCAGCTCACTGTACCCTCCGCCTCCTGGAAGCAATCCTCCCACCTCAGCCTCCTGAGTAGTTGGGGTGCACCACTATGCTTGGCTAATTTTTTATGATTTTTTTTTTTTTTTTTTTTTTTTTGAGACGGAGTCTCACTCTGTCACCCGGGCTGGAGTGCAGTGACCGGATTTCAGCTCACTGCAAGCTCTGCTTCCCAGGTTCACCCCATTCTCCTGCCTCAGCCTCCCGAGTAGCTGGGACTACAGGCACCACCAAGCCTGGCTAGTTTTGTTTTGTTTTTTTTTTTGTATTTTTAGTAGATACGGGGTTTCACCGTGTTAGCCAGGATGGTCTCGATCTCCTGACCTCGTGATCCGCCCGTGTCGGCCTCCCAAAGTGCTGGGATTACTTTTTTATGATCTTTGTAGAGACAAGGTCTCATTATATTGCCCAGACTGGTCTCAAACTCTGGGACTCAGGTGATCCTCCTGCCTCAGCCTCCCAAAGTGCTGATACTACAGGCGTGAGCCACTGTGCCCGGCTAGTTTTACTTCTTCCTTTCCAATTTGTATACGTTGTAGTTTTCTTTCTTGCTTAATTGCCCTGGTTAGAACTTCCAGTACGGTGTTGAATACCAGTGATGAAAGCAGACGTCCTTATCTTGCTCCTGATCTTAGAGAAAAAGCTTTCAATCTTTCACCATTAAGTATGATGCTCATTGTGGGTTTTTCATAGATGATCTTCAGCAGGTTGGAAAAGTCCCCTTCTATTCCTAGTTTATTTAGTCTTTTTATCATGAGAGAGTGTAGGATTTTATCAAATTCTTTTTTTGCATCAATTGAGATAACTGTGTGTTTTCCCCCCCTTTAATCTGCTAATATGATGTATTACATTGATTTTTGTATGTTGAACCTCCTTTGCATTGCTGGGCTAAATCCCAGTAGGTTATAGTGTATAATCCTTTTAATATGCTATTGGATTTGAGTTGCTAGTATTTTTTGAGGATTTTTGCATCTATATTCATTCATAAGGGATATCACTCTTTAGTTTCTTATAGTGTCTTTGTCTGGGTTTGGTAACAGGGTAATGCTGGCCTCTTTAAATTAGTTAAGAAGTGCCCCCTATTCCTCTGTTTTTTGGAAGAATTTTAGAAGAATCGGTGTTGGTTTCCTTTAATGTTTGATAAAAGCCACCAGTGAAGACAATCGGTCCTGGATTTTTCTTTATTGGAAATTATTTGGTTACTGATTCAATCTCTTTACTTGTTATAGAGTTATTCAGATTTTCTAATACTTCTTCAGTTGGTTTTGGTAGTTTGTGTGTTTCTAGGAATTTGCCCATTTCATCTAGGGTATCTAATTTGCTGATATACAATTGTTCATAGTATTATTTTATAATCTTTTTGTTTCTATAAAGTCGGTAGTAATGTTCCCACTTTCATTTCTAATGTTAATAATTTAAGTCTTCTGTCTCTTTGCTTGTTTAGCATAGCTAAAGCTTTGCCAAATTTTGTTGATATTTTTAAAGAATGAACTTTTGGTTTTGTTGATCTCTAGCTTTTTTTTTTAATTTTCTATTTAGTTTATCTCTGGTAT